TTCCAACCCTATCTATTCTATGATTCTATGAAATACTTCTACATTCTCGCCTACTGCCAGAAGTACCGATAGCTTCAGCTTTAATCCATGATTTCAGAATCAGTGAATCCTGATTCAGTGAAGTGTGGATAGCAGTTATTTTGTAGTTATATTTTTCTAATTTTTTTAATGGATACTCTTTTTGTGTGTATATGTCTTTAAAAGCTTTTTAGTAGTAATTTTCTGCCATGGGAAGAAGCATGCCAAGGTCGGTACAACTAAACCTCAAATCTTGTTTTAATGGTTTAATATATTATAGTACCGAATCATATTAATGCTTTTGCTTTCTCAGGCTGCTTATTTCATTAACTAATACAACAGAGACATAGACACATGTTTTTATTGTCTCCATGTCCTAACCCATTTCTGAGCCAAACTGAGTTAGGATATGGGAACCTCTCCTCCTTGTGCAGAGCAAGGGATGGACAAATAGCTGCTATGCAGTATGTGCCTCTGCTCAGATTGTAATATACATAGTTCAGGGAAATTGAAGACAGCTGTGGATGTGTCTGCTGAAGAGAGAGTTCAAATAACTTTTTGTTTGGAACTGTAAGTTAGAAACCACATTTTCTGCAGTTGGGGTTTTTGATCTTTGCAGGGTTTTAGCTGTGGAGTTTTCAGGGGAGGTGGGGCAGGAGTTATATCACTGGGTTAGAGTTAGAATAGTTAATAGTTGTTTCTGGCTTTTTTTTTTTTTTTTTTTTTTTTTTTTTTTAAAGGAAGGTATGTTCACTGACTGTAGAAGACCCTCAGTTAATTCAGGATTCTTGCAAAAAGCAGGAGGAAACAATTTCAAAATTAGCACTACACTGGTTAAAAACACTTTAAAATTGTGAATTCTAGAAAAGTCATAGTTTGGGAGAGACCTTGGGTTGATGTTATACAGAACTCTGTTAAGCAGTCTAGAATGTTTCTAGTGTGGGAGATTCTTCCACTCTCTGGGCAAACTATTCCAATGCTTTATTGTTCCACAGTGAAGATGTTTTTATTATATGTGGACAGAAATTCCAGAATTTCCCATGAAAGAAATGATTCCTGTTGCATCTTGTGCTGTCACTATGCGTCCTTGTGAAGAGAGTACCTCCACCTTCTCTATACCTGCATTGGAATGCTCTGATTACAACTCTTCTGAATCTACTTTAGGCTGAATAAATGAAAGTCCATCAACCTTTCTTCATTTGTTGAGTTCTCTAATCATCTAATCATCTTGGTAACTCTCTGCTGGACCCTTTTTTTATTCTTCAGTGGATATTTTAAACTGGGGGGGACCAAAGCTGTATACAGTATTCGAGGTGTAGACTGACAAGGGCCCAGTAAAGTGTAAGAATCCCAGCCCTCCTTCTGCTAGCTGTACTCTTAGTTACACCCTCAGCATACAGTTTGCCTTCTTTATTGCAAGGATGCACTTCTGATTCATGTTCAGATCCAGTTCATTTACTGTTCAACCACTACTGTATTCCAGCATAAGCTGATGGAATTTTTTTGTTGTTGTTCCCATTACATCTCAGCCTTGTTTCAGAAAGAATCTTCTTACTCTTTTTTAATATATACCTTAAGGGACTACTCATTTTGTAGTGACTGTCCTACTCTTTGCAGTTTAATAGGAGCTTGAGTCATGCTTGAAATGTTTGTTGGTCGTGCATCCACCAGGATGCACCTACCATCTTTTTCTCTCCTCTTTGTCATGGCTGTAGAATGGACTATAGCATTTGGTTTGTTTGATTATGTAAGATGTTATATTCTTATGCTCTGTCTCCAGAACTAAAGTCTTACAAATGTTTAACTCTAGTTTTCATTCCTGATTGGAAAGTGTCTTCCACAGATCTTCTTATGACAACAGCCACTTGCTTAACTCCTTTTGTTAGAATTGCCTTTTTAAAAACAATCTTTCCCACATGTGAGAAGTGTCGTTGCTCCCATCCTAAGTATTAAACGTTGACATGGACTGATAAATCTCCTTCCAGTTCACCTATCTCTAGAAAAGGCTTATTCCTTATTTGACAATTTATCTGAAAGTATGTCCTTCCATTGCTTTGATACTTTGCGGTCTGAAATGGCTTGAAGAAAAATTCCTGATTAGATTCCAGCAGAATTCTCTTAATAGAGCCAATTACTTAATAAAAGCAGTAAAGAAGAAATTATGTCAGAGATTTTAGGCTGATGTTCTGTTTGCCGTCAATTCTTTGAGAAATAAGAGCTTAATGCAAGATTGATTTCATTATACTGCCCAAGCTTTTTCAGAAAACCACAAGTAGTTAAAAGCATTTGGGAAATGAAATTGTGCTGTGTTTAAATGTGCCAGTTTTGTGCTCAAAGCCCTCTGTAAAAAATGAAATTTTCAGTTTAAATGACAGTCTGTCCAGTTTCTACATTTGTTTTTTAGTGTCTGACCAATATTACACTTTTTTAGTCTGAGAGGTAATAATAATTCATAATGCTGAGAGCAATTGGAAACAGAAACCAGTCCCTTCTAATTGTTTCCTTCCATTGTATTTAATTCAGCTTCTCTGGATACATTAAGATTCTTGGATGATGGGTTTATTTTCTGCTTGTTGTCTTAATAAAAGCTGGACCCTTCAAGAAGATTTAGAAAAACAGGGTGTTCCAAGTTCTTCTAGAGAAACAACCAAACTTGTAGGTTAACTTTATAAAGTGGCTCTTTTCCCCAGTGTTTATATTCAAAATTCAACATTGTAGGGATGCTACTAATATTTAAAGTGATTTTTTTTTTATTTTTTTTTCCCAGTTTATATAACTGTATTGTTTGAGGGACGATGACTTTCTTTTCGTTTAGTATAATCTGTCATTTTCAGCGCAACTTTATCCTGTTTTTCTCGCTCACATATTGGGATGAGGGAATATACTTACAGAACTATGAAAAAGGTCTCTAGATTTTGGAGGTAAGCACTCTGCCTGGTTTTTACATCAAGTGTTGTCTTCAGCCCCAGTTGTTATGTAGGTCTATTTTTTAGGGCATCCAGACTGTTTTGATACCTTGCCATGTTTTTCTTCATATATTCTGAGCACAAGTCTTCCTCCTTCATCCACAGAGTCAAACCTCAGGTGTAGGTTCTGATGATCTCACACACATAATTGCAGCATCCTGTTTTCTAGTTTTGATGATTGCATTCTTACCTGTTGATGTCCATCCTGACTGTTGCAAAGATCACTATTCCAGCTCATTGCTTTTAACAGCATTGCATTGGTTGCTTCTCCTTTCTCTGTGCTCCTCATTTCCAACAGAAGCTATTGTTCTCACATTGTGGCTGTGTACTCTTCCATCCCTGTTTCAGTACCAAGATCTCATCTGTGCTTCAGTGATGCTGGTGTTTAGGCTCAAGCTCTTACTAAAGTTTCCAATAAATATTGCTGTGCTTCCTCTGAAATATGTGGAGCAATCTGGGAGAGAAAAAAGATACTGTAATCTTTAGGAGACCGAGGTACTATCAAGCTTCATTTTATTTGTAGTGATTGGTGACTGGCTTTAATGGACTCTTGGTCTGTGGTACACAGAATATATGCTGCAGTAATACCAACTCAGCAGGTACTTGTGGAAGCAATATCCAGCATTAAGTCACAAGATTGGAAATGGTGGGTTAAAATCTGTTAACCAGATTCAGCAATGCTTCAGCATTCCTCCTTACTGTAATAAGGAACGTCATATCTATCCTTGTAGTCTTGAGACTTAAAAATTTGCTAATGCTTTAACTAGTATGATTTAATTATTTTTTTACAGTTGGCTCAATGCATGCATTTACATCTGAGAAGATCTATGTTTAATTTAGCTGTGGCAATGCCAATAGACATCTTTCTCATCCCTTTCCTGCATCACTTGCCCATCCTGGGGAAGGAGGGAGAATCTTTCAGCCAAGGGGTGAAACCCAAGACCGAAGTTTTTTCTTCCTCAGTAGGTTGTGTAGCAAAGGAAACATGGCCATTCATATTTTATTTCTTTCTGACTAGCTTGCCACAGATGACTGTGACAAGAAAAAGCCCCTCTCCCTACGTTTATCTATCCTATTGGTCCAGATGTGATCTCAGGCATTATTGGTTACAGGCTAGGGGAAGAGAATTATTACTCTAACAATTTAGTATTTTTCCCCTTTTTTTCCTTAAAGCCTTGTACTGTGTTGCATTTGTTTGCCTATTTAAGTAACATTGAAAAACTTTTAATCAAGCATTAATTTTAACCCAATTTCCTGTCTCTCTTGAGGAGAAAGAAGGGAGAGCTGCTTTTTTTCTTTTTTTTTTTCCTTTTGCTGTTACATTTTCCCAGCCCTGTGGCTGGAGGAAGCTGTGTGAAGAACATGTTCCCACAGTCTCGGGGTCTCCAACAATGACACTTCCGTCTGCAGGCAGGCAGCGGCATGGCCGGTGAGGCTCAGACCACTGCTCTGGGCATTGTGAGCCTCAGCACGTACGCTTGAACCTGTGTTTGGTGGACTTTATATAAAAAGTGCTAAAGCTGAGCAGGAAATGGAGACATTCTTGAGTTTTGTTTTTTCCCCTCTGTTGTTTTTCATTTGTAATCCAAATAATTGCTTTGACAAGAAATACAACTGCCTTTGTTCTCAGCCAGCATGGCAGAGTAACACCAAGTCTGGGTGGAGTTTTCTGCATTAGGAGTGAGGAGTTTTAGTGTCTTGTCAGAGAGAGGTGATGATGATTAAATGGCTCTTAGATGAATAGTTGACTTGTGTCATTGTCTTTCTGCAATTCTGTGGCTGGAGGTTGTAGTTCCTGCTACATTAAAAACTGAATAGGGAAGCTAGTTAGTGTCTGCTTAAGCCCATCTGAGTTAGATATTAAAAGAATAGTTATATTTCTCCATAAACGTCTGAAAGGTGAACTGTGAGTTGTTATTACTGGTTGCTTCTCAATTAAAGTTTAAAAAGGCTGCTGTCCACTTAGCTTCTTTACCATTGCCAAGTATACAGTAATTTAGCAGGTCACAGAGGCATCTTCTTCAGAACTCTTCTGGACTGAGATGACTCTTTGTCTAATAATGAACACGTTCTTGAGAGGTGTGTTTTACCAGTGCCACTGAGATTTCTACAGGAATGGAATAATCAAGAGTGCAAGATTGCAGTTTTCCATTTCAGTTTCAGTCCCAAAGAGAATGATTCCCTGCCGCTATCAGTTTAAACCTGTTGGGACATTTTTACTTCCAAATGAAACTTAATTTTTGTTTGTGATCTTGTTTGCGTAAGTTTCTGTTTAGAAATGTTTTCTTCAGAAGAGAAAATACTTGTCCTCATCACTTAGAAATTTTGTCTGGGTATTAATGCAGTAGAAACAGAAAAGTAAGATCTTACCTTAACAGAGATATACACACGTTGTCTGTTTCAGGGATTTTAGGCATTAATCTCTAGCTCATTTGCATTTCTGTCTTGGTGTGTACAGTTGTACCACGTCTATACTCTAGCACTACATTTTACACCTTTTAACACACACATTTTGCCTTTTTTTTTGGGGGGGTGGAGGGGGGAAGAGGTTGTGTAATATTACCTTAAATTAATATATAAGGTAATTGACTTTCTTATCACTAAATTTTTTTTTTGTTAATCTCTGTAGTAGTGCATTTTGCTTTCTTACCACAGAACTTCAGTATTAGATTGTTCACTTTCTCTGCTGATTTCTTCAAAGGTATTTAAAATAAACGAACAAACAAACCCCACAACTATTGGTGGATTGGTAGAACTAATACTTGCTACATTATGATTTTAACGTTGTTTATATTTTTTTCCCTTCAAGAATATCGATATAACAAACTTCAGCAGTAGCTGGAATGATGGTTTGGCTTTCTGTGCAGTCCTCCATACTTACCTCCCAGCCCATATTCCCTACCAAGAACTAAATAGCCAGGACAAGGTAAGATATTAAAAATCCAATTCCTGGCACTGTGAGACTACATCATTAATAGGAGTTAATAAAGAAGAATCACCAAATTTCAGTTTTCAAAACACCAATGTTACTAGGGTTCATAATTAAACCACTTCTAACTACCTTGATGCTCTTCCTGTTACAAGCTTTTAATATTATGAGAACATTGGGTTAAACAAAACTTTGGAAAAGATAGGACAAACAAGCGAACAAAAAGTTCCTAAGTTTAATTCCAGGCATTTTATTTAACCCAAACAGTTTGAAAGTGGTTTTAGCTCAGGGTTTTGAAGCAAGGAGTGCTTAAGCTTAAAGATTTTAAATCCATCAAGTTTGATTTTTGACACATTTTGTTCATCTCTTTCAATATCACAAGGAAGTTGTTTCATCCTACTTTCTCATACTCATAAGTGAATGCAATACTCTTCTCAAGTGATAGTATCAAACAAAGGTAAACTTGAAGATGTCAAGACTGCAGTTGTCTGTATGTATTCTAGTGTGTTACAATTAGTACCTAATGGTGTGTTATCTGGAGATGATTCATGATAATGCATCCTAAAAAAATACAAGAATAACACATGAAAATATTTATGCTTTTTAAAAGAATAAATAATCTCTTCTTTAGCATTTTTAACTCGGTCATTCTTTACTGACCGATTTTTCAGCTCTATCTTCTGAATGAGGAATTAATACAAATTTTCCATTTTCAAATTACAAACTCCATTTGAAGCAAAAGTAGCAGCATTACTATGAACATTCGTAACACCACTTTACTGTATTATGCTTTAAGTAATACTTCCTTGGCTTCTAACATGTTTTTATATCTCATACAGAGAAGAAATTTCACTTTGGCTTTTCAGGCAGCTGAAAGTGTTGGCATCAAATCTACTCTGGTAAGTTTTAAATGCATACTGAATGAATTATGATCCATTTATAGAAATCAAATTATTTTGTACTTTTGAAAGTTTTTATTGCTTTACACTTAAAAACAGCAGCAGATGAGCTCAGCTAGAGGTTACTGCCCCTGTGTCATACTTGAGTGAAAAACATAAAAGATACTCCCTATCCCACAAAGTGGCTTTGTTTAATAAACCCACTGTCATCAATAACTTAATCTTTACATGGTTTTTGCATTAAGTAGTGGCTGAGATACAGACCTGTAGTCCAGCAGCAGCTGCAGCAAAGGCAATTGTTATAGCCTATAGCAGATAAACTTTTCAGCTCTTCACCAAAACTCATCTCTCAGTATCATAAGAAATAATAATAAAGACAATGTATTTGAGAAATAGTTCTATGATACAACGTTCAAGAATTCATTAATTCTCTCCTGCCTCTGACCTTCTTTCAGATTACTTGGCTTTTTTGGGATTCTGGAGGTAGAAATCAAGCTATGTAATTTGCTCTTTTAGTCAGCATAATATGAAAGTCAGAATTTACTTCTCAAGTTTAGACTTTTAGTTTGTCATCATTGTAAATAATCGTAAGCTTTTGTAAAAATTGTTTATAATAAGCTTTCTTATACAAATTGTAGCTTAAAAGAATTAGTTTTCAACAGTATAGTATTTACTAGAAAAGGAAGCTATCTGGAGGTATGGAATTGGGAGCCTCCCAGCTAAAATTGCCAGTATCAGAAATGATACTGAACTGATACTTCTGTAACCTAAATTCTAACAGAGCTGCCACAGTTGGCAACTAATAATACAACAAAGTCACACATCTTTAAAAATAACACTTGCCTTGATCCTTATCAGTGCTTTTGCCCCCCCAGCATTGTATTTGCTGACAATGGCAGTGCAACTGTTGGGCTTTTGTACTTAGGCATTGTCAGTGATTTGAAACATGGAAGTTTCTTACCAAGTGCTGAGGTAAGAACTAGATTGTGGAAAATAACTGCCACAGTTGTTACATAATTCATCTTCAGTCTAAATGGTTACTGTCTGTCCTTTCATTTTGTGATGTGTGTAATTACAGATGCTCTAAAAAGGAAGAGTGAATAGAATTAAATCTTCTATAGTTCAAATTGTATCCATCTTAAGGATTTAGTTTCTATTTACATACCTACATATGCAGTTTGTGCCATGTATATTTGTGGATTTCTTATTTTCTTTGTCGATGGATGAAGGGTGAAAAAGGGTGTGAAAACTCCTGTGTCTAAATAGTAGTGGTAATGTAAGGGGAAGTTATTTGCTTCCTGAGTAAGAAAATATTTAGCTACTTCCTTGTGGGGAAAAAAAAAAAAAAAAAAAAAAAGACTTTCTCTTTTTGAGTTCTGGAGGCTCCTGGACCCAAAGGTAACAAACCAGAACCTGACAGTAAACAAAAGTTGTTAGAAACTACATCACTCTGTTTTCCTTTGTACATGTGCTGAAAAGGGTAGATCAGACTTTTGTTTATGCTGCTCATTCACTTGCAGTCTGGTGGATTGTTACTATGAAACAGGTGAACTGGCCAATCAGTTAGACACAAACGCATGGCTTTGTATCTTGGATATACCCCAATTGGTAGGAAACCAAAACTTCTTCCTTGCCTCTTTACTCAAAAATACATCAAAAGTAATCTAAAGTTCAGTAGTCTGCTGTAAAAAGGGATTCAATTAATTATTGAAGACTCATAGCCTGATGGGAATTTTGGACTTTAGCTTAGGTTAATATCTGAGCCTTGATTCTATGCTCACAGTTTCTAGGTAGGTTGCATTGACTTTGAGGCTGGTGTAGGGGGTATGTGAACACTAAAGACTTGACTATTGTATTGTTGTACGAAGTGGGGGACAACTCCAGCATGCACAGCATTAGACATTTCAGTCTTAAGTCAACAAAATATCTATCTACAGATATGCTATTCATAGCTGTTTACCTTTTCTTAGTAATACAGAGATATATTGAAGAAAACAGAGCTTTCTTCATCAGTGCTTTAAATTGTGGAAACTTGACGGATTTACCATTCCCAGGAATTTGTAAAAACACTACCACATTGCTCACAAGGCTGTCATTCCTGATTTTGACCAATCTGTTTTCTGTGACAGGACATCAATGAAATGGTGCGAACTGAGCGTCCAGACTGGCAGAATGTCATGCTGTATGTTACAGCAATTTACAAGTACTTTGAAACCTGAAACCCTAATAATTCAAAAGATCCATGGGATAGAACCAACTTGAGTTACCAGATGGAAACCTTACTGAATGCTAATCCCTATTTCACTGAAAACTGGCAACATTTGAGTCCCCTCAAACTTCAGTGACGCTATCCTGGATTGCCTCAGAATGCTTCAGCTACTAAGCCTGGAAATACTTGTTTAAAAGCAAGAACTTGTTGCCACAGTACTTGGAATAACCCAAGTTGTTAAGCTATTCAGATTAATTATGTAGCCTAAAGAGTCTGGACTACTTATGTGCTGCCTTTCCAGCCAGACTTCCTGAAGCTTTCTTTCCTAGGAGAGTAAGATGAATTGATCCTATAGGATATAGCAAAGATAAAGGTCTGAGAAGGAAAAGGATAACATGGCACCATATTACTAAACATTCTGTAGCATCGTGATACCGGAGAGTCTGAATATTCTACCCACAGCATATGGCACCCCAATACAGTAGAGTTCTCGATGGTAATTTAGTTATTGCCTTTACAGCTATTTTCCCTCCTTTTAAATGTGCACAGTATTCTAGGAAAACAAGCTTTTATTCCTAATGACAAATTGAGTGGAAAAGTGCTCTCAATACCTCGAAAAATTTGGCACAGAAGAACTCTTCATTCTAAAGCTTCATTATAAGCCTACCTCTGTCACAGCTATGTGGCTTCCAACTTTATGGATTGTAGAGACTAGCACACACAGCTCCTGGTTTTCAGGGTATGCTGTACTTCAAGGAATCTTTCCAAACTCCCTGTGCTTCCATTATAACAGAAATGAATCAATAATCAACTGTTGCATGGCTTGTTCTTCCCACTATTCCTCTCTTGTCTGTATAGCACACACAGCTACCCCAGGCTTTACAGCAATATGAACATAGGTCATGGATTTCTGTGATAGAATTCTGGAACTGGGATAGCATTTCCTCTGCAGAGAAGATATTTTCAATAAGATGTAATAATGAAGTAGTTTGTCTCAAAATCCATCTTTGCCATGTTTTCTGTGTGGTTTTCATTGATCTTGTACATCCTCATCTGTCTGGCAGAAAGTGAGACATTCTCTGACAAGAACTATGGAGGAACTGATGTAATGTGTATACGTCCAGTAGTGAATATTGCGTGGATATGACTCACTGTCACAAGGAAGAAACTGAGAAACTTTAGTCTGCTCAACTTCTATTTTCCTAAAATGTACCTGAATTCATGTAAATGTACCTAACAGTTCTCGGGCAAAAGAGTTCAAGTGCCTTAGTGATCATTGAATTGATAAATCCTGGCACTTCAGGGCCTTGTATGGAATGTTAATAGCTCAGAATGATTTCATATATCCATTTGTAATAAGCTGTTTGTTGAAATCTTGTTTGTCAAATCAAGGGAAGACTTCACTCTATTATTGCTTCTGCCTCTTATTTTTCTGAATACTTACCAGTAGTTAATCCACAGTTGAACATCTCTCATTAATATTGAGCAGAAGCCTACTTTAGAAGCGAGTTCTGTAACGTCTGCTATTTATAAGCACTTGTTCTTTCAACACAGTAAGCCTGTTATAAAGGAAATGAATCTGCCATTTCTGTGGTGCTCTTATGACTGTTAAGGATGTTAACGCAGTGAATGCAGCTGTGCTTGGCATCCATGAAACTTCATCATGGTATAAAAGCACAGATTTAACTCAAAATTGTTGCCAAATCCAAAAACCTATCATCTGAAGAGTAATAATTCAGCATGTCTCTAGCAGCTAGCATTGTGTAAAAATATGTGCTTACACTATGTGCCTGTGAGAATTATGAAAAGTTGCAACATAACTACTTAATATATGCTGAAGGACTTGGGAGAAGTTTTCAGAGCAGCAGGGTCTCATACACACTTACAGTTCTTTAGTACCCTAAAAGTAGCTAGATATTTTCAGATGATTCATTAGTGCATTTGAAGAGCAAATGTAATGTAAAGACAATTCTTGCAAGAGAGGCTTCAAGAGAAAATTCTTCATTAACAGATTTTTAATAAAAGTCTGAAATACAAATTCCTCTCCCATATATGTCTTCAAAAACTGTCGTTTACTTCATTTCTTCCAGTAAGTTTCAATAAGAATAGTCTTATTGAAAATGCATATTATTGCTGTCTCACATTCCATCTCCTACTAATAAATTCTAGGTTTTGCCCATTTGTGTTCAAAAAACTTTCTATTCATCCTCTGGACAGACTTCCTTATCTATGATTGTCTTATTCATTGCCTTTGATTTAAAGAAAATATTTTTCTGATGAAAAGGAGAGCATTTCTTGCTCTAAATACACTCATGACCTGTTTTCTTAAGGTAATTTGAGCTTTAAGCTTAATTTTTTCTGTCCACTGGTCAACTTCATTTACCTAGTATGCTTTATTAGTCCTTAACTGAAATAACATTAGTAGTATCACCATTTGTAAAAGGGGAGATCACATTTCCCAGATACTTTCTGTTAAAAAGATTAACTGCTAGTCTTCATAAAGAGAGGAAAAAGAAGTTATTAGTAATTATAAACATTACCTCGTTTTCAACTTCAGAGCTCTGTAAACTTCTTCTTGGTGTGATCTGTCTGATAAACCTCTGTAAAGGAATATTGGGCTTCATGAAGAGTGTTTTCTATAATGATATATCTGAGCCTTTACATAGAAGGTGCTGCACAGCTGCTGTCCAAGTGGAAGTAATGAAGCAATGGGAGATCCAAAACAAGCATTCTGCTGCACTCTACAACATTCTTTTTCTGAAGGTCCAAACTGCATTCAGTTTTTCAAGAGGAAGAATAGCTGTAGTCCTTCTGGACATGGATGGTACTGTTCTGTTTGGTTCCTTCTCATTGTTAATCCTGAAACAGCCTGGGTTTTTTGTACATCTGAAGTGCAAGTTTATGCTGATTTACTTTCCTTTCTTTTTAATCCAGAAAATATTTCTGAACGTACTAAAAACAGGACAAATATTTTATCATCAAATTATGTTATTGCATTTTAGTATGTGCCTTGCAAATGCCTATGCTGTAGCCTATCAGTTACTCATTGCCAGTTGCAGGGGTGGGGTGGGCAACGAAATGGAGCTGTTAAGCATATTGCTGCAGATACAGGTATGTCATCTTTTGATCCTGTTTACTGAAACGCTTCCATACACCAGAGAGGTCAGTTCAGAGCCAGATGTGGATTTGGTTTGGCTAGTTGTCGTCCTCACGCAAGATCATTAGCAACGAATTAAATGAACATTTGTGGGATTTTCTTTACCAATGAAGAAGGGGTGGGAGGAAAAACTTAGTTTTGGTTATTCAGGAAAATTCTGTTGGAGAACTTTTGATATGGAACATCTAACAGTAACAGAACTGGTATGACTTCAGAGTAGATTACATTTGATTTGGTTTTCAGTTGGTTTTGTTTGATCCAGTTTGATTTGGTTGTCTGTTTAAATAGAAACACTAGTTTATTATCTCTGGTGTGACTGACTCTCTGGCCCTCACAAAGACCTCTCGTTCTCATGCCTCTAAAAAATGGTGAGTAAAATTTTCCCTTTGAAAATTGTGTTTCTGGATAGGTTATCCAGAATATTGTATTCAGTTCCAGCATATTATGTTTTTAAAGTAAATTTTTTTCTCTTTTGCATAAAATATATTCCTGAATTTACATGTAGCATTTCTGATAAATTTTTGTCTTCAAATTTGTAAAATACTTCCATTGTGTCTGTTTTTCTGTAAAAGCCCATCATCATGCCAGAGCTAAATGAACTCAGCTTTAATGTATTGGTGTAAACTCACATTAATATCACTGGCAGCAGTCATACTCTAGGTTTACATGCATAAGGAGAAATCACTTTGGCCGTTGCTGGCAGTACAGTAGTTTAAAGTGCTGAGGACCTGCCTTAAGAATTTTGCAGCTGTGACAAAAAGTTCTCATTGGCATCTCATTTCTGTTAACGATATCAATGTTAGGTTTTTACCTATTCTTTTTTCAGTTCCCTGATTCAACACTTCAGGCATTTGCATTTTGTTGCATCTTTTGCATTGTCAAAAAATTACTTGTACTCAATTCTCTCAATTGCTGTAGAGTTTTCGCCCAGTGTACAGATTTCATTATAGCCTTGTTTTAAACAAAATTATTTGAGAACTTCTAGGTGTTTTTCTTACTTTCTGTGTTCTGCATGTGACTGGTTTGGAAATGCTCTCTGGTTTCAGGTGATATGTGAAAGTATTTTCCAAAGCTGCCCCCTCTCTGGACAGCTGGTGTGAAGCTATGCACAGGCTAAAGTTAAGCCTTTAAAACTGTGTTCGTGCAATTCATGTGGGGACTTCTTATTTGCCTCTTGCAAATAATACAGTCACAGCTTAACTGCAGGCTGCATCAAACAAGAGCTGATAAGGGGCTGAATTCTTCTGGGAAGGAATCCAGTTGTAGACCTTCACACTATTTTTTTGCCTATTGTGAGTAATACTCTTGCTGAAGTGGCCCAAGAAGATTTTAAAATTCTAGTGTCCATGTACAGGCTGATTTGACTATTAACTTTAGTTGTGGCCCTTCCCTTGACTTGGTAAATACTTATTTCTGGTTTATTTTCATGTTCTACCAAGCTCTATTTCTGCAATTCCTTTCTTTAAGCTAGCATTAGTGTCTGAATGCTCAGTAATATTAACCAATTTGAGAAATGATGTGGAGAGAACTGGTATTAAAGCATAGTTGTCATCCACAAGTTCTGGACATGCCACCGTGCCTTCCTAAATGTAAAGTGTGTTCCTGTTGTGTTGATTGGTGACACATGTTAGAGCTGCTTAACTCTCCCATGACTTCCTCATCTCCCATACAGCCTATGTCATCCCAGGGTGTCCATCAGGTGTTCTTGCCCTGAAGTTATCAACTCCTTAGATGAGTTAAGGGTTCACAGACATCTCTAATGTATGTTTAATTGTCCATGTTTAGAAAAGTGACTCTGAGAGTGTTTCTGCCTTCAAAGGAGAGTGGCTAGGTGGGTTTTAAATTCCTGCCTGGCCTGCTGAGCATTCCTAGGCCTTCATTCATGTAAGTTCTTTCTGTTGTATTCCCTGATTTCATTATCAGTGTTGTAGGACACTTTGTAATTGTCAAAGCCAAGATGTTAAGCATCTGGAATATGTAGCAAGTATGCTTTTGGTAATTAATGTAAAGTTCTGATTTCTCTTAGTGTTGATACAAGTGTCCTTTCTTCCTTACGTATTTGTGCTTGCCAGTTGTTGGGATGCAGCACCCTTGAACTCAGTTTGACAAGGCCTCTGTCCTTTTCTCCTTCAGTTCATTCATTCTGAAGTAATAGAGTTATTTCCTCATTCTGAAACTTCAGTAAAACCTATGACTATAAGATGACTTCTTCCAACTGACATTAGCTTAGCTTTTACTTGGAATATTCTTTACCCTTATGCCACTGTCTGCCACAGAGTTGCACATAAAGTTCCAATCAGTTCCAGCAGGATCTGTGG